ATGCTGAAGTTTGAAAGGAGCCATTGTAGTGGCGTTAACTTGTGTCTGTCTGACTTCTCCGATACGACCAAATGAGCGCTGGATATCATCGAAACTATTATTCCTGACTGATGCCAGGAGGCGACGAGTACGACGGTGCATGCAAATTTCTCAAACACCACACAGTGAAGAACCCGAGGAAAGCTTTGACGGTTATCGAAGGCCCAGAAGGCGGATAGGGCTTTTGCTGCTGGAAACACTTGTTCCCTGTGCCAATTGATACGATCGACTGGCCATAAGGAAGCAACGGTCAGAGAAACGATAAGCAAAGAAGACGGCTCATTAGTTCACTCGCAAAAGCGTCGACTAAAAAGATGAACCGAACCCTTCGAAGAACAGTTTAACTGGCTTCCTGCAACACAGTCTCCAGGTGCATTTCGTACGGGCGAATGGAATGTAAACCTAAATAGCCCGTCAGAAGAAATAAAATAGAAGATACACGTACGGAAACGTGAGAGGGCACCAGTACTGGAAGGTTTGTTTCCTGTGCTGTTTAAAGGAAGCGAAGAATCCCATGTGACCCATTTAAAAAAGTTCGTTGGTGCGACATGGAGTGAAGAGAAAGGGCTCACAGAATGAGGCCACGTCGAGAGTTAAGCCTATCTTTAAGAATGGCACGTGAACAGTGTGCGAAGACCACCGTTGCACCATCTTAGCAGCCGTAGAACCAAATGTTCTCTCATCTTATTCTTCGAAGGTTGACTGAATACAGGGAGAGACTATTCCGTTAAAATCAAGATGGTTTCCATCCTTCAAGGGGATGCATCGATCACATCTTCATCCTACGACAGATTATGGAACAGCGACACTGCCTCTGGCAACCAACAGTGGTGTCCTCCGTAAATTCTTGACCCCTCTTAAGGCGCTGTAAGCCAACTCCAGCGGACCTGTGTAGGTCTATGGAGCGCTCTCTCCTGAGTTCACCATATCAGGTGTTGTCAGACAAAGCTATCTGCTTTCACCCTTCCTCTCCAACTTCATCACTGATACGGTTATCGGAGACTCACTACCCGCATCTATTGCCTGTGAAGTAGAAATGCTACCATGGAATTCGCTCACGCACATCAAGTACGCAGACAACGTAGCTCTTGGATCTGGCGTCGTGGTAATGCATGCAATATTAAGTGATCTAAATAATTCTGTCTCACGATTTGACATGCACTTCACACCTGCAAAGGTAAAGTGCTGACATGCACTTCACACCTGCAAAGCGTAAAGTGCTACAGCAAGACTGGTTGGGCTCGAAGCCCAACCTCATGCTTGCGGATGAGCCGATTGAGGTAGCTGACAAATTTGTCTGCCTAGGCAACAGTATCAGTCCCTGTGTTCGCATCATTACTACGTTTTCGTTTAATGTGGTCCACTTTTCCAATATCTGCTGGTTTCACTGTACTGGTCTGTTTCTGGTCGTCAGCTTTCCGATGGTCATTTCGTGAAGGCTTATCCTACAGCTGTTTGATGTCGGGTCTGGTTGAAGACAACTTCGTCCCACGGCGAGAGCACTTTCGACCTCATTAGTTCATTTTCGTTTTATTCAGCATTACGCATCGCCTTTGGTGTGAGGACTTCGAGATCCTTTTGTAGAATAGTAATATGGTTCAATAGATGCCCATGTTCCTTCTCAGATGCGTTAACTCTCATGGACCGAACATCTCTTTCCATATCTGACTGTCACAAGCGATTCGGGTGTCGAGATCAATTATGTGGGATGGAAATGAGGACATCTTACATTCGTCCCTGGAGCTCTTTTTGCTCAGCTGTTGGATGAAAGATCGCGAAAACATACATGGGAGAGAAGTTGCTCTGACGGTCGAGGCCGGGTCGATATACCCGAATTGACGCAGTCCAGTTCATTCGTCATTATTCCGCCTGTGTGACTGGCCACTGTAAATACAACTCCAAGTTGCAATTGACTGTCGTGTGCGATTACAGACCAGCTGAATGTGTAGCTCATAAGTGTTTCACCTACTAACGGAGAATTAAGAAGCCGGCTCAGTACGATGGTTTTTCAAATACTTGGCGACCCTGACTTTACGCATTCCGGATCTGACATCTCCGAGCTGTGGGGAATAAAATAAATGAATAAATCATTCAGCTGTAGCACCCTTTCGGTGCCTAACTGCCATCCCACCCGATGGAAGCATGAGGGCTGAGAAATTGCCAAGTTACCCAAACCTAGACAGGAAGTCGAGATGCGTAGGTCGGGTTCGAACCAAGGTCCTTCCAGTCAGTAGATTCGCGTTCTAACCAATGAACTATCTCGCCCCAAGCCGTGAGGATGGTCTGGGATTTGCGTGAGTTGAGTTGGGTGCAAATCTGTCGTGCAACCCGGAGGGAGCACGAGAGGTGAGATACTTCCAGGCTGCCCAGGCTTACACAAGCAATTGAAAGAAACAGGGTTGTGTTTGAACTACGTACCTATTAGTTGGTAGTTTCGCTCCTTAACTGCTATGCCATCTCAAAGTAGATAATGACTGGTGCTGTATCCTGTGTAAGTTTAAGTTAGTCACACTGCTGAGAAGCCATTCTCAGCCGAATGTTAATGTACACAGTTATCAACCTGAAGGTTCCTAGTCTGTGTCTATGGGGGCGAGATGGACCAAGTGGTTAGAGCGCGAATTTACTGACCGAAAGGTCTGTGGTTCGAACCCGACCTCTGCCACTCGACTTCCCCTGTCTAGGCTTGGGCAGCCTGACAGTATCCCAGCCCTCGTGCCTCCTTCGTGTGGCATGGCAGGTAGGCACCGAAAGGGTGCTACAGCTGGACGATTTTTTTCTGTGTCTATATAAACTCCTTGTATGGGCACTACTGATAGCTCCCAACAAAAAGTAAACAGCTCTATTAGACTTCTCGGCCTTCCAGCATCGATTGACTTAACTTAATGGATTGAATTCCGGCCTAAAGTCTCACTGCAAGCACTCAAGCACTCATCTCCTTGCAGACCTTATAGAATGTTCTGGGTTCCGAGGTTGTTGCATCTTCTTCATCTGTAGCCAGTAACCCGCGCCGTTTTCCATTTTCAATCCCTTTCTGCTGTCCCTAATTTTTTGGCTTGACGATCCGAATCGTGACCTGATCACCTTTTCCTGAGGCGCCACACCAAAGTGAGTAACTTCAGAGTCTGACCCACTTGTTTGTGGCAGGCTGACCTAGCCCGGAAATGTTAAAAGTAAGACAGGACTATCTGACTCCTAGTGATTTTATTCACAGCAGGTTCTTTTTGACTTCATTCGGAATTTGGTTTTAGTAGGTATTTCTCTCGTATTAAATAATGCGCCGGTTATTACGGCCAACAGTTATGTGACCTAAATGTGTGGGCTTTATGCTCCACCTTTTCCAACTCATCACTCGGGGAAGGGTAGCCTCTCTTCCGGTCATTCGGGAGAACACAGTCCTCGCATTTCTCTCGCACTGAACATCACAACTTTATCTCCATACCACCTGCCACAACAATCCTTCTGTTATGGTTAAATTTTAAGAAACCGAGTTCCACAGGGGCGTTGCAGCGCCGAAGCCTGACCACTACGACAAAGTGCCCATGTCTGATTGAGGATATAGCTATAATGATAATAGTGTCGTTTCGGTTGTGGCGCTTTTTCTGTGCAGGCTGCCGCGCATCCCACAGGAAACACGAGAATGCTGGCTCGTCGCAATCATCATCGACGGGTTAACTTCAGTGGTTGCAATCCATAATCATTTTCTCAGTCGCTTTGTGCTCTAACCGCCGACCTATCTTGGACCCCGACGCAGCTACAGAGGTGTACCAAAAGTGTGAAATACATAATAGTAGTACACAAATGGCCAAACCACGAGTGTCACGAGAAAACAGGTTTTATCAGAGGACCATGCGAAATGTGACAACTAATGGGGCGCGCCTCATCTGTCTCAACTGTGCAATTTCTGAGGTTGTCACCAGCTTACGACACTTGGCTCTCCATCCATCCGGTCCAACAGAACCGAAAGAGTAGTTGAGTTACGACTGGCAAACCAGTTTGTTTCAGGTTAGATCCAGTATACCCCAAAAGAACTCATCGAAATGGACAAAACATGATATTTTCAAGACGACTGAATAGGCAGTTACTTCCTCGTTAGAATGTGGCTCAGTGGTTAGTCTTTCATGGTAACACCAGATTTGTATTGCCGGGTGGCTGCTCCCGCCGAGTGCGAGCAATGGTTCGCAGGCATCGGTCACCGGAACAACTAGTCGCTTAACATCCCTTACTCTGACGGCCTCGTTTTCACATCGTTTAGTAGCACTACGCTGAGACCGGGCCTTTGCGTGCTGCGACGGTTTGTGTACCTAATTGACCCCTTGAACTATACTGAGGGGTGTCCGCATGGCACACACAAAGTCCCATATCAGGTTGGTCGATGGATAGTGGTCTGACGAACACAGTCTCCTGTTCCTCCAGGTTGTGGGTTGAAACATGTGTGGCGACTTGTTCTGTAAAGATTGAGACACACTTACATTCCTTGCCAAACGCCGCTTCTTTGCGGCCAGGCTTTTTAGCCAAAGGCTTTGATCAAGGCTTTCAGTCGTCCTCCCGTCTGGGTGTGGGTGTTCTGGCAGTATCCCAGCCTATGAATTGTCCCCATACAAATATACTGATGCCACATCGACCCTCGCGTGCCATCGGCCGGGTTGCCTTACTTCCTGCATACAACATGGCAGGTAAGCGAAAACAGGCCACTGCTGACACCTCTCTTCTTTTTCTCTCCTTTTCCCCCCTCGCGCCTTTCCATTAATATCTCTCCTGTTGTGGCCCAGAAGTCAGGACTGATGACTCCGTTCGCCCTGCGTCGGTTTTGCAAGTAACAACAACCAGTGTACTTATACTCCGTTGATCGAACCGCCTTCAAATCTGCCCTTATTTCTGTTTATTTACAGTATTTGAACCCTCGTTTGCTATTCGGTTGATGGATAGGCTGTGTGGTATGGACCAACCATAGCAAGATCATAATGGATACCGGAACTCCGAGGCTTCGTGAGATTGTTCCAGCGTGCTTGTTTGCTGGTATGGGAATGGTATTTGCAGGAACGTACTTGGATAAGGTGAAGGTATGTTCGCATATTCGAAAACGACATTTTTAGAGAACACAAGCCGGACAGTTTGACCCTCAGCTGTTGGCAATTATCCCTCCGCTTATAGGACTTAAGGGCAACCTTGAGGTGACGTTGTCTTCACGTCTCGCCACGCTGGTACGCTTTTGTTGTATCTCTTGAGCTTTCTTACGCCCATGTATTTATCAGGCAAACATCAAGACGGAAGTCAACCGACAGGCTATACAAATGTTCTTCTCTACATTAGCTTATATACTGGTCAGTAGCAATAACTAACCTTACATTTGTTTAGATGCAAGGTGTGTCAGCTGCCATCGTGATTTCCACCCTTTGTGTGATTATGTATTCACCGACGGAATACAAGTTTGCAAATCTGTTACATTTAACCGCAGTGTCTGTGATAACATGTGCACTGGCTCTTTGCACATTAAGTGAGTTCCTGGTTTAATGTTTGAATTTTGGATGAGGTTTTCTCGTCTTCGCACTGATCGTGTGCTGTATGTATCTTGGTACGGATCCGGATAACGTGGCACCACCGATGGCCGCTGCATTTGGTGATCTCGGAACGGTTACTTTATTACTGTGGGCGAACTACTATTCCACAGAATGTGAGTGCTTTGTCATTGTGATTTCGTTTCATCTTGTCTAATCCATCGTCTAGAACGGATATGTGAGTAAAGTTATGCTACATGATTTATTATTAGACACTAGTAACACCTTGGTGAGTTAGGCTGACTTGGATTTACGATTCGGATAGTTAGCTTTGATCTCATGGTGACTGTATTTTCTCAACCCCAAATAACCTGGTCCCAATGGATCGGCTTTGGTTACCATTGGCTGCAACTGCCCGCGGTCACCACCCACATTAAGCTCGGGATAGCTCAGCGGTCAAGGCGTAGAGCTACCGATCGCATAGTTCATGATTCGAACCCAAACCTGGCTTCTCGACTACGTCTGTGTAGGCTTGGGTAACCCGGTAATATCTCAACCCTCATGCCTCTTTCGGTTTGCGCGGCAGCTATACACTGAAATAGTAACAGAGTTGAACCATTATATTCTAATTACTGCGCGCTTGACGAGTATTAAGCTAGGCGCGTTCTTAAATTGAAGTTTGTCGGGGTTAATTTGAAAAATTTCTTCGGTTCCCATTCCTCGTTTACACAGTTGATGTTTGTGTCCAAATGGTGCTAAGGCAAATGGCAAGCTGATGACCGATTGGGCACGCGATTGATCCTGCTGTATCCACCTGCCACATCCCATTCACGACAAGACGTATGGTGGGTTGCTTTCCGGGACTAATCACATTCTTCCCATAGTACACTGTACATATACCAGTTACTGTCTGGTTAACTTTGCTAGTTGTCCGAGCTGCGTATACGTTCAGTAAGTAAGTTCTCGTGTGTTCTAGAGGCCTAAGACTATTACCGGCGCATCTTACTACACGATCTCCATCCCGGCGTTTTCCTGGACCGGTTTCTGCTGCAGGCATTAGGTCTACCCACCATCTCCGACGTTCTCAATTGTTTTGTTTTCGATTCTTGCTGCTGAATATGTTCGCTTTATTGCTAGGATCCCCACGTGTTCCGCTCCTCCGTAATTGCTTGATTAACCCTAACGGCCTCAAGCGTATTCAGTAACTCTAATTGCTTCACCCGGGACGTCCGTGTACGAGACTATGCATGAACCAAAGCACGGCGTTGCGATGACGGTACCGTGACTGCCATGCCCAGTCTGGCCATCACATAGGGACTGGACCTTACCGTGGCGTGACAGTTTGTGTTCCTCCGTAACCCAATCAACTATACTAGGGAGTTTCCATGAGACACTCGCAGAGGCTGTCAATGGTCAGTGGTTAGAATCTGACCAACATGGTTTTCTGATCTTCCAGGCTGGGGATTGAGACATGTCTGACCATTTGCTCTTTAAAAATGGCAGTACAATGGCGTTTCCCACCAAACACCGCTGCCTCGTGATCAGGCTTTTGAGCCAAATGTCTTAATCGAGAACCCAAACCGTACTGCTGCCTAGGTCTGACCCCCCTAGTAGTGTTTCAGCTCACGTACAACCATGATTCTCACAACGAACAATACTTTCATGTCACATTCGTACGTCAGTGAAGTTTCGTATTGAATGCTGATGTTACGCTGTAGATAATGATGATGATGCCCAATCTGATGGCCTACCGGTAGTCTTCGTCTGTTTCCTGGCCAAGGCTGTCTCAGTCCTCTATACCCAATCTCCAAGTTACTGTTTATCCTGGTGCGATGCCGGCTTGTTCTACCCATGCATTCAACTATTCTACCCGTGAATACCATCTGGTTCTGCGCAATACCAACATTCTGCCTACCCCAATACTTCCGAGCAAATTACCACCCTGAGTCTGATCATTAACGTGTTTTTCTGTGTCGCGCGTGCTATTTTCATTTCTTTGTCCGTCTATCCGAACTTTTCACAATCCATTCCTTTCTTACAGTTCCAGATGGAGCTCAGATACTAGCTTTCGTCATTGTACTTGCGGTTTTCTTCTTTGGCCCATTTCTTTTAAAATGTGACGAAACGATGAACACACCAGCTGAACTCCGAGGTCTTTTGATCAATCGAAACACGCTTATGGGTTCCATCATGCCACTGTTGGGTGCCGTTCTGATGAGCAGGCGAGTAATGCATGTGTTTGATCATCCCTTCATCTTTTTGTCCCTCCGTTTGACATAAGTCTCGTATCTCTATCACTCTTTGACGTCAAGAAAGACGGAGTTTGGTGAATTTAGGATAATGAACTTAAGTACAAATGATGCTGTCGCACAGGAAGTCCAACAGTACAGCTAGCTGGGTCTCTTTTAATCCATTCCGTTTTCGGTCGCCTATGTTGGTACCTGCATTTCGAGACAGTCCTTGATTACTTTTGCTTGGAAGCTAACAGCCCTCTCTTTGCTGCAGTTTTTCAGTCTTCTGATAGTTGTATTTCGCTGAAAGAGATTAAAGGCTGCGTGGGCATTTCTGCTAGTCGGTTGGGAACTTACGCCTTGATTCCAGCCAAAATTGAATGCCAGATTAATTTTGCTGGCCGTAGTAGTTGAACCACTCGTAATGAGAAACTCGTTAAGTTATTAAGGCACATTCTTCACCCGTTTGTACAGTATTGTGCCTTTCGTAATGCTAATTTGAACACTATCAATGTTTCCAGCTGTCGTTAATATCTTGCTTTCGGTTTTTCCTGGGTCGCTGTTTCATTCCATAAGTTTTCTGACGTTTGATTTGAGTCCCACTTGACTCAAAAACGTGTTTCAAATGTTAGAGGTGATCTCGGTCTTTTTCGACCGTTCCCACATTTTTTTTGCCGCATTAGTTGTCCCGGTTGCAATACTTTTAGTATACTGTACTTCCGCGGACCAGTAACTGAGGACTGTTTGGTTTCGTTCGCTCATGGATGTGGTTAGGCAAGCTAATTCTGAGTAGATAAAACACTCATATTTGTCTGGTACCATCAGGAAGGTCGGATCCCTAAAAGCAACCACCGAATGCTCGAAATCTGTTGAGAGCCTCGGCTCCGCTAGATGCTGGCCAGATAGACAACGCCCCCTCAATATGCAGCGCGTCACAGTCTCGTACCAAAATCAGACCGCGTGCGTCAGCGTTGGACCAAGTTCAGACAGTGTCCTTCCAATAACTGGCTTAAGGCCGTTGTGTTTTCGCACTCACGCCCTCGCACTCGCTTGTTCGGAATATAGTTGTTGTGCTCCCTTCTGTGAGTCTTTTTTCCGGCACTAGGCACTGGAGCGGGTCAGCAGTCAGACACCACAGATTGGCGAATCAGCAGATATAACAGGTACACTCGTGTGAGTCGCATAAGTTACAATTAAATCGTACTTTACCCTAGTTTGTCAAACCTGGAGTTCACATCTTGGCGTTCCTGAGGACGTGTACTTCTAATAAGAGCCAAAGTCGAGTACAGTAGTTCCAAACTTTAATGTGGACTGTCGAGACAGTCATATGGATGCACGTTGGGAACTGATTGAACAAGACTAGTGCGAATACCAACCTTTTTATCCATGAGTCACATTTGGCAATAGTGAGTGCATAGTGAATGCAATAGTCAGTGCATCTGAATCAGGGTTTAAAGGTCAGATGTAACCTCCACAGTTGCTGGAGGTTATTGATTGGTTATGCTCACAGTGACACGTATAAAAGTAATCGTTCAGCTGTAGCACCCTTTCGGTGCTTAGCTGCCATGCCATTACACGTAACGTCTCACCACGGTTCGTTGCTCACCGAAAACATTGATACTGCAGACGGCTTAAAATGTCAGTTCGTTGATGTAACCAAACCACCTGAGCAAGAGTATGCGAGAGCATTCGTAACACAGCGTTTTAGGTTGAGCGATTGTCAAGAGAGGTTGACTTAAAGCATAGTACAACCTGTGTAACGAATCACCCAGTAATGACTGTCTCCATTAGATTTTTTGGTAAGATTTGTCTATTTGCGGCTGTTCTTAAACTTGATTCCTCTCAGTTGTTAGCGTCGTTCTTTCGGTCGAATTAGGTGTTACTAGAGAAGAAGTATTTCGAACGCACTAATGTTTTGGTTACTTTATGTTTTCCAATTACGTTAAGGAACAGCATGCGCCGGACTGCGTTATGGGCTTTAGTTGACCTTTATTACTTTGACCATAGAAACCATGTTATTAGAGAAAGAAATCAGTCGTACGTTGTATATGAGAGTGTTGTTCTGGCAACAAGACGTAGAAACGTAACTCTTGGGCTACACAATCAGTTATGTTGAAGGTGTTGTTATTCGGAGAATCGTTATAGACGGGGAGCATAAATCCAACCACAGCGTTTATCAACAGAGATCTCATCCTGTTAGTGAAGCTAGTCTATACTGAAAAGCCGAGAAGTACTGGATACCTGCTTCGCCCTTGTTGGCGTGGGTTGGTTTCACCAACAGGACGAAATCTTTGAACATTACCGAATCTATTCACATCACCATTACTGTGTTTATCACCTAGTCTATTTGTTTTTTTCATTATACCGCCAGGACTCTGTTTTTTTTTCAAGAGGCGTCCTGGTAGAAATAGGAAACGATGCTGTAAAGGTATTAGGGTGGTTTAGAAACTGTTTTTTTGCATATCAAGTCCACGAAGATTTTATTTGCTATGTAGCCGAACAGAAAAGTGCACCTTAGCACGCCACTGTTGTCTAAGGCCCTATGGAGACACCACATCCAGCTGTACTTTTAACTTCCCTTTTTAACCATAGCCCCCTTTTCTATGCAGTCTTCTTTCACACGGTCCTGTTGTTTTCATTTTTTTGAGGTGCTCTGTAGTATGTATGAATGACTTTTGTCCAAGTATTCCCCCTCAGACAAACAACTCACAATATTTCAACATGCATATGAGTAAAGCGCATCTGAAAATTTACAACGCAGCCATTCCACTTATCAGCATACTGTTTGGTTATATGGGTTGGCGAAGATCAGCATATCTTTAAAAGTGCCTATTTTTCCGATGCTCGAGGTGTAGTACTTTTGACAGATTTGAATGGATTTTTGTTTCCACAAGTCTGGCCCGAAAAAGCCAAGAACAGGTGTCTCACTTGCACCCCAAATTTGACTTCCCAAACCCTTGTGACTGTAAAAGACACGCGGTAAGGCGTGAAAAAGATTTTTTGTCAGCATTGTGATTTGATGCCACGAAATCAGTCCGTTAGCGTGTCCTGAATTGCAATTCATGAATCCAACCGCTTATTATTTGTCCCATGGTTTTACAACTTAATCCAACTGAATTGATATAAACGCGTACTTGTAGTCACCTGTCCTTGAGCCACGGAATGATTGTCGATCGGTTAACACATAAGTTTGGCCGCTTTGAAATTGCTTGTAATACTATCAGCCATGGGGCAGGTAGATATCTTACAAGAAATTTCACTAACAAACGGTCACCATTACCATAACTTTTGATTGAGGCGTGCGTTTTTCGATGAAAATTTCTCTGAATAGCCATTATTATTCAACATGTTCTTGATCGGATCTAGTGCTGTTTCACCAGTTTCCACTACCTCCGCAGTGGAGCAACAAGGAAAAAGCTTAGGCCATGATCATCTGAAATAGGAGACAGTGAATGATCGCTAAGCCGCTTCAGTAAAGTGTTCAAGATGGGACTGAACCATTCTATTTCATGCATGCACAATGACTCAACTAGTGCCAAACTTTCATGACAGTAATAAATATGTGACTAGCATAAGGGCAGTGGATCTAGCACTGTTGGATGTTCGACGTTTAAACTCCATGCTTTGGTTTGGTCATTTACGCGCCAGTTTGCCAATGTGCTGCCAGAGAGCGTTCAGCTAATTTGTTATTAGTGTTACTTTGAGAAAAAACTTCTCTTTAATTAACTCCCTTTCAAGGGGGCTTTACAGTTGAATGACTGCATCGTATTCGGGTACACCTGCTGCAGCGCGCATTCCTAACCGTCACCCGACGGAGCAGTGATCAGTTCCAACCTGAAAGACAAGCTTCCCATAGGGGACCCATCTGCGTGTGTATAGTGCTTCATCTACTTTGCGTCAGAGTATGTTAGTCAGACACCTGAGTGATTCGTTGGATGGGTTCGAGAGTCCCAAACACCCGCAAAACGCTTGATGAGGGGTGCCTAGAAAGCGTCGAAACTGATTCAGTATGAAGCCAGAATGTGTAATGCAGGAGGTCTCGCACGCGAAGTGGAACTAGGATCTTTGCAAGCACACTGGACATGATAACTTCGCGTCAGATTTATCTTGAAGCATGCTGGCGCCTTCCCGGTTCATCTTGGGGATCTGGCCAAGATATCTTATGAAAATACTGAGACGTTACAACTCGAAAAACGTATGGTATCACTCCAGTCAAATTCAGTGGCTGGTTGGCGCTGCAACTGCCTCCGCTACGGTAGGCATCGTACGTCTTATTTTTGTTTTCTTCGGAAGGAGAAACTTTTCTGTAACGTGACCTTCAAAACCGGTCCGAACTTGCGAGTAGTTTTTCTGGAGTGTCATATATAACAGGAACTTAAGGGGTCCAATAAGGCATGTACTCCTTGGAGTAGGACAACTGAGTAAGCTTTGTGCTCAGAACTGAAGAAGTCCCACCAAATAACTTCACCTCAAGGTTGCACCTGGTATTAGTAACCTAAACAAGTAACATGGGTGAAAATTCGTTTTGACAAGCAAGCTGCTACTTTCAACTGTGAATATATACCTGGTAAATTTCTGATTGTCTCACGGCTAAGAGACCAACAGAGTTTGAAACAGTGGATGCAGACGCATTGATAGCTTTTCCTGAAAAGTGCATCCGAGTTAAACGTTTTCATTTGTCGATCCCTTAGTATTTTCAGAAGCCTTATTTCTTGTCCAGTAACAAAGTGTAGGTGGTCGTTACTACGCATTATTCAACATCCTACCATACTTTGTTTACTCGGCGTGCATGATAAACTCGGATGCGCCATCCATACGGTCACAAATTTACATGTTACTCAGATCCTTCACCTCTTTGTGCGGTCATAGCACCCTTATTGTATCCTGCTCATCTCTTTCTGAATTTCAGCCTTAGTGGCCAAGTGCTGGCTCACTTCGATCAACGCTTGAAAAACTTGGCCCGCTTACAAATCGCTATCAATGGTTAGTTGGGTACCCTGTGAGCCTCACAGCATATTTGTTGCGTTTTTTAACTGCACTCTGTTTTTCCCATTTTCGCTCTCTCCCCTGATAATCGTAGGAAAATGTTTTTTTTGGGAGGAAATAAAAAAACCTGTTTGCTTGGAAGTAAAATTGATTCCTTCAGTGGTTTAAGTTAAAATTAGACTTATCGCCCGTTTTTGTTTAACTTTTATAGACTGTCCCTGACAAAATTGGACTATGCCTTATGCAACCCAGTGGACAGTAGTTCCCTCCTTGCCACACGCGAGCTTTCTCACATACAAGAGCCCAAAGGCAGCAACTTTTGTCTGTGAACTGATTTCGGTTGCATCATGCTTCTGAAGAGCTTTGTAGATGCACCACCTTTGGATAGGTCCATAGATGCAATATCACACTGCGCAATGATTGCTTCTAATTTCTCCCGATGGGTTCCAAGGAACACTTGGGTAACTTCTTGCTCACAATTATTTTGGCACGATAAATCAGAACGTTGCAACTTCACAACCTCGTTACAGGCCTTCATACGAGGAAATACGTGCCTTGAACGCTTTTCTGCTCCCACTTGTGCATTGCGTTTCACTAGCTGTCCTATAATTCACTGCGGAACTATTGATGTCCATTGAACGCTATCATTGTGTACATACAGTACAGACGCACCTATCGACCCGCACTGGTATACATCAGCGCAACGAAGGGCCGTTTTTTGCATCTTATCGACATGTTTGCTCTCATTTTCTCCGGCGTGTGCTTCTGCGTAGCAAGTGATTGTGGCTGCTGAACTATTCTTACATTACCTGCCTTCTATTTTACGCGTTATTTTTGCTGGTATCACTGTGATTGTCACTTTTCTGGTTGATGTAGCACATATAGCCCTTATTGGACATACTATGTGACCGCTCCGTTGGTTTCCTACTTAGATGTTTTTTTATTAAATTGGATATTCTTCTGTTCAATGCTGAAATGGTTGTAGGATATGTCTGAACCAGTATTTCTTCTTGAAGAGTAGAGCATGCGTCTAATCTACTCCCCTAATGTGACATGTACACTCATACTACTAAAATTCCAACTTCATGTATCGACAGCCTAAATCCTCTTCTCAGTGACAGTAGTTTCCGCCACCGACCCTGAAATTCGAACTTGGTCTTGTTCTGTGCGAATATTCTATTTAAAGCACTATTGAGTTTCTTATCAGCATCGTTTGTCTCCAATGCAATGTACACGCGTATTCCGGTATCACTTGGTTTGTTGATTCTTTGCTTTTCAAATTACCCTTTCCTTTCCTGGGGTGAGATGACCCAAGGGTTAGAGCGCGGTATCACTTGGTTTGTTGATTCTTTGCTTTTCAAATTACCCTTTCCTTTCCTGGGGTGAGATGACCCAAGTGGTTAGAGCGCGAATTTACTGACCGGAAGGTTCGTGGTTCGAATCCGACCTCCACCACTCGACTTCCCCTGTCTAGGCTTGGGCAACCTGGCAGTATCCCAGCCCTCGTGCTTCCTTTGGGTGGCATGGCAGGTAGGCACCGAAAGGGTGCTACAGCTGAACGCTTCTTCTTCTCTTCTTTCCTTTCCTGTAGGTGTTGGGGGCTGTTTTGGATCGATTGTAGTCAGCCGAATGATTACCCGAATCCATGCCGCCCGCAAACGGCCACTTTCGCCTCCCTGGTCCCGTAAGCCTTCGAATGAAGTGGATCAGAACCAACACGAGCACTACACGAGTCCGGAGTGCTCCTCCGATGTTCCACACAACAGCGAGACCAACTCTTCTCCGTTTATCTCTTCTTTACCTTGTAACTGTTGGCATTTGATATCAACTGAACATGACTACAACGTACCCAATTCACAACAACGGCAATTGGAATTAGACGTGGAATCCGATTCACGCCGTGCATCTCGGCTTATACTATTCTGCTGTTTACCCATTCATTTGATCCTTGCTATGGTTAGTTTGATGCTGCATAAAATGCTGGAATCGGAAGATGCTCACGAAACCCTTCCACTGAGTACAATTGTCGCGTACCTTTCAGCTGGGTTCCTGCAGGTTAGTAGGGGAATCGCTTTTGGTTCATTTTTCTAACTCTATTGTCTCATTTTGTCTTTAATTGTCTCTTACGTTAGTAAGTCGTCAGATCATTACTGCAACACCATGAGGTTTTATTGGATTACAGACACCGTTGTTTGCCACTTTACGTGGTTCGCTAAATGTTCAACTATGTTCGTTCGTTATTGGTCACCTATCTGTCTCTGGGTCATTTGACGTCGATGTTCACTAAGACTGACCGATGCCAGTTGTATATTCGCAACCCGAGTTCGTCTTTGGTGGAATGTATGTTTGATCGACTGGAGCACGTTCCTCAGACCCGTATCACCATTGGCCGGCAAGTTTTCAGCTTGTAGAGCTTTGTTCTCACCCTAGGTTCTATGTGGCCCCAAAGACTGTTTCCCACCAAAGGTGACCGGAAGATTTCAGTAGCTCCTGGATACCACAGGGGATACCACATTTTTTTGAAATCGGGAGGTACGAACACATTGATTTCTATTCATCCCTGGTGAGCTTAGTTGTCCAGTTGTGAAGTTTAGCTGAATTTCACAATTAGACTCGGGAGTAATCTTTTGGTGTGTGTGTGTTGTTAAGGATAATGAGGTGTACAATCATTCCTGGACTATAAATTCGTTCTTTCATTTGTTATCGTGAATTCTAAAGACACTTTTAACTATTGGTGAGCTGAACCGTTCGATGAAAACTCAGTTGTGTGGCTGTTGATTCATTTGTAGTAGTCCGGGTTTTTAGATGATCACGTGATGAGATAAAGAATAGATTATTCAGCCCAGTTCAGATGACGCTGCCTAACTGTCGTAAAGCTACTAAATTTGACCGGCGGAAAACCCATCATCATCAATAACGAAGACAGCAACTTCAGTGTTGACACTGATGCTTCACTGTTGTGCAGTGAAAGATTACAGTATCCTGAAAATACAATAAATCTACAGGAAATTTCGCCTGTTTATTGATTACAGATTGCTGTTTCCGGCGTCACGTGACATCTTGCTAGTTAGGATGCTTAGGGGCTAAAAAAGCAGGTCAAGCCCTTCTCTAGATATTAGCAACTAAGACCCTAGCGCAGTTGCAGTCTTCCACGTATCTACTGCGGACATCAATTCACACACCGTAGAACTGAATAGTGGGCATCCACACAATACTGGATTTCCCTTCTCTAGTGTCCGGAAAAGTTAACTCCACTAGTCATTCTGATGCAGACGACCGCGTCGCTTCAGAAAACCGTCCAAGTGCAGTTTTGCATCAAGGAGAACTTGGATGATAGGAGAGTTATTGAGCTAGTTATTATAGCAAACCGAAATCAAGATACATTTATTCGCTGAACATATTCTGTATAACTGAATGCCCTCGTGGATCTGATTGATAAACGTAGAGTGAATTATTTTGCCTTGAACACTACTCAAAGTTATATGGTACCAAGCAGTTTTGCCAACTTTGGTGTGTAATGGAATCTCCTTCATGCAGGAGTTTGAGAGCGACAGTTTAAAAAATGATGAACGGAAATGAAATACTCGGTTCGTTAGTATAGAAAAGGTCACATTACCTAAAGGAAACTGCTCGCAAGGTTGCTGCAGCCACGACCGGTTTCGCCCTTCCTAGGACGCATCAGGTAACTGCACTCCCCGAGTTTCCGTTAACTTCATGTTTTACTTGAACCGAAATCGGACACTTCTCAACAAATACACTCATTAGCACATCAACTGGGTTTTTACTGGAGACTCAACTGAATCTCACGTTTATGGTATACCGCGATATCTCGAATGTCCTGCAAACTGAGATACTCAGGACACTGGATGCTGTTAATACATTCACCGGCCTACATTTGTACTAGAGTAGTGGAGTAAGTGCTTGTTACAATCTAGCATTTCCGACGCGTGTGAGCGATAAAATGAGGTCATTGCTTCTCTCCTCCGGTCTGGACTGTTCTGAATAATCCTTTTAGGACTGGAGAATTGTCCAACTGAAAGTAGTATATGATAGCAAATCCTACAAACTCCGCACATTTCATTCCTTCTCAGAACTGTCTGACTGATAAGTCCTGGTCGATAGGTCAGTCAATCGACAACCAAGTCGGTGGATATGGGCGGCGTCGTGCTGACCAATCCCATCGTTTAGGGTGTGAACATTTGCAGTTCAGGTGCACCAACACGTACCGGTGGAGCAACGACAAGAAGCCAATCGTACCTATCACATGAATGAGCTTGAACTTCTGCTATGGTCGAAAATATGCTCTGCTAATGCACTCCACTTTGTTTCACACTGGTTAGAATGATTATGTCATCACTGAAGAAGGTATTTTCGAACGATTGCTTTGAATATGTATCCGGATTGCAATCACCCGTGCTTCTTCAAGTGTTTTTGTGGATGATCTCTGGACGGTACTTGACCAATCACGCTGAAAGATTTGGCATGGTAAATTCTGGGGTGGCTTGAAGTCGCGGGCTTGAATTGTCACGGGCTAGCAATCCCTGTTTAAGGTTTGTGTGGGACAGACGGGTAGCAGTGAAATGGACCCTGATTGTCCCGTATTGAGCTTCTTTCGGAGGGAAGCTTTTAAATAACGTGTAATTGTCTCGGAATCTTTGTGGACGGTTTTTTTCGGGACCGAACCGGCATTTCTGAGTTCTGTCCCACCAAGTGGACGTAGTTTTCTATGCTCCCACCTATCGGGGTATCCATTTTCGATAAGGGTACTCGTAACAACTTTGGCTCTTCTATGCTCCCACCTATCGGGGTATCCATTTTCGATAAGGGTACTCGTAACAAACTTTGGCTCTGCATCAACGACGTCACGAGTGCGGCCCCTGTGAGCCATGATCGATATACACCACATAATATTTAGCTTGTACATCGTGTAGCAGAGCCATAGACCAGACAGAATTTCCGTATGTTGTACTCTACTCTGTAGCATTCTGTCTGGCTTACTAGTCAACCCATCATCACGAAAGTGACGCAAACTAGGTGCAGAATGTACCCGACTGAGTTTTATGGATCTCATTGGTCGAGTCAAATGACTCGCGGAACTGGAATGTTTTGCGAGTCGATGCAGGCAAGATTGTGAATACCCACGGCCAAATTAGGATAACCAATACAACGGCTTTGTAACTTCAATCACGGAGCGTGGAACACAAAAGAGACAGCTGAAGACAGCAGAACTTTTCTAGCACTTCCGAAAGGACCAGAACTTTACATTCACAATTTTTTTTCAAATATATGTGGTTGATGGGGTGTCACCCGAGGTGTTATCCGTAGGCCCTAAATTGTCGCTCACAAAAAACGGACCAAGTAGATTTAGAAACCCACCCTGAAGTACTATTCAATAAAATCATTCAATGACGGCGTACATACCGTTATACTCAAGGTAAATTTAATACGGAAGATGTCAACATTTGCCACAATTACCGTCGAAACTTTCATTACCACGGAAGTTTTATCATATGCAAACATGAAAGCACTGAAGGATCTACGGGCTTTCTCTTAAAGGGGTCCAAAAGGACAAAAGTGTCCGCCAGGACAATATACGGAAATCACAGACCATCAGGTGCCACATATGCAAGAATCCCGAACAGAAAGGCCCGTCGTATCCCACTACATTTTGGTCGTTCGGTAGCTGAGGCGAATACTCGATCCAATCAGAAATCAACCGTACACACACCCCCTACGCACGACTTTCGAGTATACTGAGTGCACAATCTGCAGTTCAGCAAACAAATTATATGTTCCTTAAACTTCACATCTTTTTAGTAACGCCTCTTTGGTTGAAGCAGACGATTACGTTTACGATTTTGTCCAACAATTACACGTTAATTCACTCATTCGTGGATGATGTAAAAGAGTTAGCTTAACAGTGTACATTCGATACTGAATTTTCGTTTAGCGCTGCCGCCATATGCAGACAAGGAGTGACGATGGGTTTTCCACTCGGTCCCACTTCAGCTGACGTTTTTATGGGTAAAATTAAACTTCTTTTGAGAGAAAGCACCAAACAGTTGTCATCAGTATGCCGGCAGTATTCTCTCAATATGTAGCCCGGTGAGAATTTTAAAAATTTCAGTCTTGCACATTCTGCACTCAGTCCCAGTGCAGAGCATAAATTGGTAATTTCCATTTTCGTGATGACTGGTTGACGAAAAAGCCAGACGGAATGCTACAGAGTACAGTGTAACATAGGGAAATTCTGTCTGGTCTATATATCTGTTCACACGATGTACAAGCAAAATCTTGTGTGGTCTATATCGACCATGGCTCACAGGGTCCGCACTCGTGACGTCGTTGATGCAGAGCCAAAGTTTGTTACGAGTACCCTAATCGATAATGGATATCCCGATAGGTGGGAGCATAGAAAACTAGGACCACTTGGTGGGACAACCCAGAAATACCAGTTCGGTCCCAAAAAAGCCCGTCCACATACAGTTGCCACTTATGAGGAACAGATTCCGGAACAGTTACGCGTTATTTAAAAAGCTTTCCTCGTAAAGAAGTTCGATACTGGATAATTAGGGTCCACTTCACTGCAACCCGTCTGTCCGGTACAAACTTGTGACAGATTTCCGGTCCGTGATTCTCCAGTGTTACTTCATTTCTTCCTTCGCGATCGTTCCGCAGACTATTTGCACCTGCGATCCATTAAAAATCGACCAGGACGATTCACTCAGCTTGGTTTGTCGCTTGCTTTTCAAAGATCATCCGCAACAGCGTACTCGAAAAAGCAATCAGGTCACCACGACCGTTAATCTGTATTAAAAAAAAGATCCGTGTCTGTAGTGACCTTACCTTGAGTAAGCGTTGACCCCTCTGTAAGAGAGGCTGTAAAACTTATTTCAGTGCTACTTATTTATCCGTTATCTCCTCAACGCTCCTAACAATCTATAGCCATAACCATGCGATAAGATTCCATTGAAAGCATTACTTTCAACCGCTGTCATAAATTCACCCGAGAATATTTACTGGACATCCAAATACGCAGTTTTCCAAAGCATTTTATTGCTGTGTGTGATCGGTTCGTTTTACTTCTTCTTCCCAGGTCTTCATCGTTTTGCATTTTGCCACTTGGATTGTGGTCACATGTTGGCGCCACCTAACTTCACCGCGGTCCGGTGCATCTTGCCTATGTGCTTCCCATACAACGGATCCCCACCCCTCGCTCGCCTCGCTAGACCTGGCCGCAATTGCCCTCACGACTAGCTTAGGTGACCTTATTGGTTCAGTCCTACTTGCCACCAGCATGCATTTGTCTCAGACTATGCTACATTGATATTGTAGTGGCCCATCACAGTTGTCTTTCTATGGTTTTCCCTCTCATACCGTGATTCTGCTCTCCGTATGACTTATTTTTTGTTCAGTTTTTCACTCAGTGTCATTAAAATGGTTCGGTTGCAAATAAATCAACAGTCCATCACTTTGGAATGCCTTATTTTGTGACGAATGTGTACCTCAGAGGTTAGCGAAACCTATGGTACACCGTTACGCAACCTTTGATGAAAACTAGAGCACTAGACGGAGCACTCAACCTCCCGGACCTTCTGTAGTATCAAATGCATTTACCTCTTCTCCTGGATCCCCTAGAGAATTACAGATTGAAAGCAGGAATCGCGTACCTCAGCCAACGCAGTGTCAGGCTCATTATTCTGTTCTGATCGCTTTTCAAGGATGGTGGTAACGTGTTAGGAATTAGCACCCCTCTAACGTAAGGGTCCCGCCCCATCCTCGGGTAAGTTGAGTATAACCCCGATATTAAAAAAAAGTTTGCAATGAATATCAAAGCCACATAGGAATTAACCTTATGCCAAGTGCACAAAAACTGGCTACTTTTCCTACGTTGGCTAAGTCATTGGTCTGTGAAGGGTGCAAGTCCATTTCTGCCTTGGTCAAGGTTATGTGCATCAAAGTTGCACCGTTCGGGAGACTCTAGAACATGACGTCTACTAGGATTGCCTGTACACGTATGGAATGCCAGACAAACACGTCGTTATACAAATAAGTTTGTGGTCAATTTGGGACCTGTCAGAATTTGTCACCAATGGTATGCAACAAGTTTACCCTATTTACTCGTCCTTTTCCAACTTTGTTCTCAACGACATCCTTCTTGACACTGGTCTAGATTTCGCAGGTGACAAATCTGGTTTGGTCTAGATCGTCTTGTGATTGGGTTTGCCCTACTCGAAATGTTTTGCACAATTTGGAAATATCCCCATCTGCTATCACCCTGGAAGATGATGTACTACAAGCGGTAGAGAGTTCGGTGTAGCTCGGAGGTTATCGATGTTGGCAAAGGTATCTCGGATGAGGTTGCACTGCCTATATTCAAGACAAACTTTGCGTTCGCAAAGTTAAGACATGTTTGGCATCTGTGTGAAGTGAGATATTGCTCGAATCTGGTGAGAGCACCGTGTAAGTAATGAACAGGCTTGCTGAAAAGTCCTGGTCAGAAGATGGTATTATCCCTGATTCTGGGTGGTAGGTTGCACAATACCCCTCTAAATGAGATGATGATTCTTCCAAACTGCATCGTCTACCTACTTGCCATTCTGGATACAATCCGCAACAGTGTCAATATGATCACTGAGCAGTTGGCTGAAACACATATTCCATTGGCGGCAGTTTCAGTTCATTTGGGTAACCGTACGCCCGTACAATGGTTCAAGCAGCTGCAGCTTATGGCAACAGATATAGTAGGATGGCGGAAAACAAAAGAATAGCGGACTGGTGACTTTTTATAACCGCTGTATATGTGTTGACCTGATTACGAGATCTCCTAATCAGTAACGTCTGTCATTCGTATGATCTTGGTAACATTGTGGGATTAGTTAACCAACTACGCCAACCCGAAGATACTCTAGTGGTTACGGAGCTACATCGATATTTGTGCCCCATCACCCGTCTTCCAGAGACTAATTCGTCATTGATCAATATTCAAAAACTAATCAGAGGAAGTGGCTTAGGAACGGTGTCAGATCAGATCGAGTCTCATTAAGACGGCACAGGCCTAATTACTTGGATATACCATATGCACAAGCAAATGAGTGCCAACCTCCAACTAATCGAAAACAGCAGATGACACGAGTTAATTGATGATGAGCGTCTGGATTATATATATATAT